TGTTTGAGTACGGAATACACTAGGTGGCGCTTTCTATATTGGTTGAATCTTATAACATTGCAAGCATATAGCGATTCCAGACACTGGTTGTTATTCTGGTAAATAATCATTGATTTGAGAACAACAGTAAATTACAAGTTACACAACCGGAAGGAGTTCCGAAAATTTCAAAATACGATGCACTCTAATATGCATTGCAAGTGTACGATTGGAATTATTGTGTACGTATGATCAGTAATGGCAACACAAATCAATGATTTATATTCGGTTTCGAATTCAGTATTAGTGTCAATTTGATTACAATAATTGAAAGGTATCACCGTCAAATGACATACATCAAAACAATGCGTTCCGTGTAATTTCTGCTTCAAATTATTTAATTTAATTGTTATCTCTGGCCAAGTGCAAAATGTCCAAATCACATTAAAATTACAAGAATCTGTCCATAATTTAATAATCGGCTTTTAAAATGGATGATCAAGAAAAACATAAATTATTCGCGTGCATTGCAATTATTTCGGAAATGCCAACATTTATTAACACAATATATTTTACTTTTAATTCATGTTGGTCCTTTCATTTAACTAAATACAACAACAGGTCATGACACCGACTATTTGAATTTGGCACTTCGTGATGGTGGCGTATCGTTGACAATGGGTTTGGCAAATGGCAAACAGGAAATGCATATTAAACCGGCTCGAGTACGCTTTGATGATCATCAATGGCACAAGGTCACCGTTCATCGGCGCATTCAAGAGGTATGTTACCAATTCAATTGTACTGATTGTATGAAAGAGAGTAAAAATTATACATACAAACTTAACAACGAAATATGGAAGAGATGGGAACGGAAGAAGTCGTATAGATTCGTTAATTGATAGATATTCCAGTAATTGAATTTGAGTCTTCCTGAAAGACTTAAGTCGGATCTATTCTCTATCAATAAATCAATTCTCAATCTAATTGAAGACGATGCCTAATAAAATTAAATGGTTTCTTTTCCGTTTTCCTTTCCGAATAGATTTCTTCCATCACAAGCTTTTGTCGGGTGAGTTTATACACATAATGTTATACAAAAAAGGATGGTAAAATATACGTCAATTCAATTTTTTTATATTCGGTGTACATGCTGGTGCTTCATAAAATAGTTGGTGGCCGTTGTTGATGATGTATATACAGATCATTCGCATATTGCCGGAAAGTTTACGATGCTGTCATCGTCTCGAGTTTATGTCGGTGGTTCGGTGAATCCGAGAGCACTTTTGGGTGCACGAGTTCATAATAACTTTGTTGGTTGTTTAAGAAAGGTAAATTTCATGAAATCACACCGATGAAACTATTTCTTTAATGCATCACCACCCGCCCATTCCATTAGGTTGAATTCTCTGCCGACACACTACGGTTAAATTTAATTGACTTGGCCCGTACCGGTTCGAAGTTAATTCAAGTTGCCGGAAGAGTTGCATACAATTGTCCATCAGGCGATCCACAGGATCCAGTTACATTTACAACAAGAGACTCTCATTTGGTAACTTATTTATTTGAATATTTTTTCTAGTTTGTTACACTATAAATTGCAAAATTAACGACAACAAAAACATTTTCCACTTTAGATATTGCCGCCTTGGGAAACTGGCAAGCAAAGCATGATATCATTTAAATTTCGAACGAACGAACCCAACGGACTAATTTTGCTAACGGTAGCAGCCAAACCGGGAAATGTAAGTTTAAAGAGATGAACAAATCACTGCGACACAAAAAATAACTAGTGCCATTCGAAGTGTGACAACATTTTGATATGTTTTCGTTTTTTTTCCCTTCTACTTTTCAAATATTCGTTTTTGTTTCGTATGTTCTCAATGCAGTCGGATTTATTTGCTGTGGAATTGTTGAACGGTCACATTTATATTCATGTCGATCTTGGTTCTGGAGCCGTAAAGGTTCGTGCATCGAGACGACGTGTTGATGATGGTGTTTGGCATGAATTGATGTTGCGTCGAACAGGTCGCGAATGTAAAGTATCAATCGATGGACAATGGAATGATTTTCGAACTCCCAACGATGCCACGCAATTTGAATTAGATTCGCCCATTTATTTGGGCGGTCTTGGTTCATCATACAACAGCATTAATACACCGCCAGCTGTTTGGACGGCAACACTTAAACAAGGATTCATTGGTTGCCTTCGAGATTTAATGCTCACCGGCAAACCGATTGACATTGCTGCATTTGCTCGTCAACAGGATTCGGGTAAATAGATAAATGCATAAAACAAAAACAACAACAAAAAAAATGATTATGATTGTAGGCGCTGTGAAAGCTTCATGCCATGTGCAACAGGATCAATGTAGTGGAACGGTACCACCATGTCTCAACAGTGGTGTCTGCAATGAAGGATGGAATCGACCGATTTGTGATTGTTCTGCCACATCATTCACTGGGCCAACGTGTGGTAGAGATTCGGCAACGCTTGCATTCAACGGTAGCCAACATATGACGATTTGGGTTGGCGGTAGCCATGGAACACGTACACAAACTGAAGAGTTGGTACTACGTTTCAAAACCACGCGTCAAACTGGTTTACTTCTGGTAACAAGTGCCGATTCAAATTCACCAGATCGTTTGGAAATTTCACTCGTCGCCGGACGAGTTCGTGCCAGTGTTCGACTTGGTGAACGTGAAAAGGTAAACATCATTTAGTCATAAGCATAATAAATCAACTATAATAAATTATTTCTCTCCTTTTTTCTTGTCTTTCTTCTACAAAATAGAATCTTCTTGCTGGTCAAGGAGTATTGCACGATAACAATTGGCACACAATCCGCTTTTCACGTAAGGCATCAAATCTACGACTACAAGTTGACGGGAGTTCTCCCGTCAGGGGTACGTTATGTATGTATCAACAGCACTTTACTTGCCCTATTCGTGTCGTGACGTGTCGTTTTTAATTTTTGACATTTCATTAAAATAACAAAAAAAAAAAAATTCAAATGATAACGGAATGATTATCAACTCGTTCCGAAACGAAAAAATGATCATGAAACATTTTCGATTGTATCAAATCATTACTTTTGCTTTTAGTTTTTCGTTTGTTTCTGTTTTATTTTCATTTCGTTTACTGAACTATGGAAATCAAATCATATTTTTTTTCTCTCTTCCTCTACCAATCAATCTGTTCTAATTGGTTCCATCTAATTTATATTGAACAAATGTCAAATATTTCACTTCTTTCTTTCATTTCTCGGTTATTCTTTATTTTCTTTCGTTAGTTTCCATTTTCTAACTATAACAACAACGAAAAAAAAAACAAGAACAACAAAAAAGTTGCCAATTTCTTTTTTCCGAATTGCTGTGACAAGTTTTTTTTCCTCTTTTTCACTCGTTTTCTTATATTTATGTATTGAATTTCTAAATCAACAATTTTTTTCTATGTTTTACTGCTACTTGATCTGTTTGAGTTGTGTACAAACCAAAAACAAAGAAGAAAACCTATACATTTCATTTTGATTTTGTGAATATGGCCAATTTCTTATTATCTATCGTTTCCTTTTCTCTATCAAATTTTTCTCTCTGTATGTTTTTTGGGATTGGAATATTTTGATTTGTTTTTTTTTTCAATTTGTTTGACCAATCAAATCTAATCAATTGGAATATCTAAATTTTCCAAAATTTTTTATTCTAAGCGAGAAAAAAAACCAATGTGTTGTTTGTTGATTTCTGGTTTGGTTTTTTTTTATAGATTTTTGAAATTTGGGACCATCTTTAATTTAGTTAGTTAATTATACAAAATAAAAAACTGAGAGATAATTTAACGAATCTCATATTGCGAGAGAGAACTGGTTTTGCGCATATGCAAAATATGCGGTCTTTGTATTGATAGAATGCTTACATTGTTCTGAACGTAGACCAAACAAAAAGAATGTAGAAAAATATCTACCAAAATAATGTGTGCGCGTGGCATTAAAATTTTGAAACAAACCAAATGAAGAAAGAAAAAACGGTGCACACAATTGTTGTCTAAAAATTATCACGCGCTCGTGCACCGTTCTGCGTTCAGCGAGCATTCTTGCGAAAAAAAAACCACAATATAAATCGAAATCACATATTTTTGTTGTGATCGAAAATTAAAACGAAAACAAACAAACCAATTTGAAATCGCAACATACAATCAACCAATATAAAATAATTGCATTCGTTAAATTTTTTTTTGTAAATACAAAATATCATATTATTATCGATGTGTTCGAATTGATTAACGGAAAACTAATCAAACAATTGAGTATACAAAAAAGCATAAATTATAAACAAGCGAATAAGGCATTTGATAACTCCATCAATATTTTGCAACTGAATGATGATTGACATTTTGCAACAAAAACTTATAATAATAATACTTATAATAAACAAATATAATTTGCATTGATTCGGTATCCTATTGTTGAGCTTTGTATTGAACTGACTATTAATGACCATTATCCTATGTAATTTTTTGTGAACTTTATCATTTGATCCGCGATTTTCCTCATTCCACTCCCTTTATCGCACCTATATGGCTACTTTTAAATCACTTCAAATCTTTTTGGTTTCTTTTTTTTTTAAATTGTTCAAAAACTGAACACAAAAAAACAATCATTTTCCGTTTCTTTTCTTTTCATCTTAACGACACAAGCTGTTGAAAAACCATCGCACATGCAAAACATTTGATTTGATTTTTTTTATTGTTTTTTAATTGGTCTCAACTGCAATTTGTTTGGCGTTTTTGTTATGTAATTTTGTGACTGCACCAATTTCAAAGTAAATCAAGAACGAAATAAAAATTGAAAATATCTTTTAATAAAATACTTAGAAGTGAGCGTGTGTGCACTTGTGAAACTGCACCAATTGAAACACCTGATGAATTTTACACACGTACTCAATCGGCTTTGTAGCGTGTTTGATACTATGTATTGATCGTTTATGCACTGATTATTTTCAATCGGGCGCATTTACATTTCGAATATTTATGTAATTTGTTACAATTTTTTATTCACACACATATTTCTGTCACTATCTCTATGCCTCACTCACACATCAAACTACAAATAAATGGATGTATGTTTTTCCGTAGTAAAATAAATCAATAAAGTAACTTCAATTTATGTTCAGCTCAATGGTGAGTTTTGGAAAAGACACATGAAAATTGGTCGTCTTTGATCTATTGAAAAACCGCTCACAACTGGACGGTGGTTGTATATTTTCGTTTAGCTTTAATGTTGTCTATAATTGCCGAACTTGATATTGTTAAATAGCTGTGACATTGAAATGACGAATTATTGTGTTTTTTATGTTGTTATATTATTTTTGATTCGATCAGATCTCGATCGTTCGAGGCTGACACAGTAATTAACATACAAAAGAAGGAAAAACAAGGAAGAAGCGGCACAGTTAGATCAAATTTAATCAGTGAATAGATTGGGCTACAGCTATAGCAGTGCTATTTTCACAGCTCCTATTCATAGGTGCTATTTTTGAACAACGCATACGGACAGCGACTTTATGATACAATTTCAGACAAAAGACCACTTGATTTTTTTATGCAAAAAAATACTAAAATCAATAAGTCTATTGTTCTATTTACATTTTAAACATTTCGTTCGGAATTGTATCATAAAGTCGCTGTCCGTATGCGTTGTTCACAAATAGCACCTATGAATAGGAGCTGTGAAAATAGCACTGCTATAGCTCTAGCCCAATCTATTCACTGAATTTAATGCACACCACAGCACACAATTCACCATTAGTTTAGTTAAAGAAATATTTGCACCTCATGCACAATTAATACATTAAGTGTTCAAAGCGACACCACAAAATAATTGAAATCAATCGTCACGTAACGAAGACAGAAAGAATGACATGAATCATCGACTGGCTATCAATTGTTGATGAGCCGCTTACAACCGAAAACAAAAATATGAAACGCTTACAGGGTGCGACCTTTTGCACGAACGGCTTGCTCCAAAAACATCAACATTCGTTTAAAATAAATTGCTTCGCCTTCAGGTCATGCATTTCCAAATACAAAAATAAAAACCAACAATGAAAAGCATTTACAATTAATTTGGGTATGGCCGCTTTTTTTTATCAATAACACCGTGCTCTATGTCACATTTTTTCATCACAAACCACTTCGAACTTTGTATTCTCACCCTTCTTTATTTTACACATCATTTCCACTGATATTGCATCGCAACATATTATCCTCATTCAAAACATAACAATCAATTTTCATACAAACAATTTTTTTGACACATACATCATTATAATTTGTTTGGAATTTATTTATCATTTTATTTATGTTATCGCAACATATCTCCGAAATCAAAAATCTACCCGAAAAATAAATCAAAATACAATAGTCATACTCAAGCGAACGATGTAATTAACAAGAGATAACACGAACCCATACACAACCAACAACAACACCAACAAAAAAAATGTCAATGGAAAATATTTCTAATTGTCTATTCGTAATTGCTGTATGTACAAATAAGTTTTTATATCTAGTGTGTACAAAATATATCTATACGTAATAATCAAAATAATGATCAAATTATCAAATGCCTCATTCGTTGTAGTCGCCCGCCCAATATTATTATATAATAAATACGAATATAATCTATTCAATAACCAGAATTTAGTTGAATTTTGTATAGTGAGAGAGATATAATGCTAGTTTCTCTCCAAATATCATACGCTTTCGGTGGTTTTATTCTGATTTGTTTCGAAAACCGAATGGTGGAATGACATCCATCAAATGGATTATTTTTCAATGTTTTTTCTCATTTATGATTTTCAGTTTCCCAAACTTATACATACATCTTTTTGGTTTGTTTGAAATATTTCATCAAAAAAAAAAGAAAAAACAATTACCTCAGAAAATTTATCAATTTGTTCTCTTGGGTTTCTTTCCTCAATGACCCTTAAACATTTAAATAAAATCATTTATTTTTCCCCATTTCATTTTCATTTTTGTTTTGCCGTTTTCATTTTTACCAAACAATTTTCGTTTGATTTTTGATTTGGTTTTGCGTTTCATGTAATTGAACAAGCAAATTAGAAAACCATCTTCAACCTAGGAATAACCATTTTCCGACACATTCTCGCAAATAAAAACTGTAAAAATTCAACTAACCATTCAAAGCATCCGACCATCGAGTCAATTGATAAACTTAAAAAGACTTAAGTAGACAGCCGACACATTCAATTTCAAGTTGATATGATGCGCATTTTGCACCACATCACATCACCTTGATCTTTCTTATCGAAGATGGTTTTCTACTTTGTAATCGGAATTTATGAAATTTTTTTCAATGAAATCTAAAAAAAAAGATCTGAATGAAAATTCGAATGTCGAAAATTTAACTTAACGTAACACTCATAAAACGATACGAAAAAAGGATGAACGATGACGTTGAACGAACCCGAAACGAAAAAAAAAACTATTCGAAAAAAGGAGGAAATAAAAACGATCGAATGAAATTCAACGAGCGTCAGGGCGCTATTTTATTGCACCAAAATTGTTTTGCCTGAAAAAAAAATACTAATTTTAATTTTACTAAACAAAATTAATTTCCACCAAAATTAAATTTGTTTGATAAATGACATTCGATGATAAAGTTTACTTGGACTCCACTCGCTAACTCTCTCGGTGTTATTCAAATTTTATTGTCGATATTTTGATTTTTATCAATGCCAATCCAACAGTAAATTTTATTTCATAAATTTTAAAGGATTTAACGAACCCATTTAAGGTGGTAATTTATTGTTTGTGCCAACTTGCGCGGTTGAAGTAAACATTATCAACGAATGAAACAAGCCATATCTGTAATTCAAAAGCAAAATTTTAGAGTGATTGTTTACAAATTGATTTGATCCGATTAGTTTTTGTGTTTCAAATGTTTTCAATTTATGATTTTTGTTCAATTGTTTTTGTCAAGAGAACACCAAAATATCAATCTGGAGCAAAATCAAATTTTTTTCTTTATGTTTTTGTCTTGGTTTCGATTGAAACGTTTCATATATATTTTTTTTATGTTAAACAAAGAAAAAACTGAATAGCTTATAGAATCCCGCCCTGTAAAATATGGTATTTTGTCTAGATTTCGAAAAACGAACATTTGTTTAAACGACATATTTATTTTGTTTAGTTGTTTTACTGATTTCTTGTTTGATTTGTTTCGTTTTATTTTGTCTCTTTCTCTCTTACTTGTCTATGAAACTGGATTCGTCTGTCTCTTTCATTTTTTTCTATTAAAACTCTCGATCCCTCTTATATCCTGTTTTTTTTTTGTTTGTCTTGAATCATTACTAGAAAAAACGCACGTGGCCATCAATTGCAAGGCATTGGATTTAAAATTTCGCTCTCGCCGAAATGTCTCATTTTTTGAATGAAGAAAAAAAAAACGTAACATCAACTCCGTTGCTGATTGTTTTTTTTTTTCTCTTTATCATTTGCATTGCAATTGTGTGGCACTCTTTTTTATTAACCGTAGACATTTTGGCTTTTGAACTTTTCTCTAATAAAATTGCAACCGAATGCGTAGCGTAGCATAGCATTAGTTGGTAGTGAATGTAGGAAATTAGCTTGTCACACTCACACACACAAGTCTCACGTTTTCTTTCCGAACAACAATTCACGAAATAGCATGATCAAAATGCAATCAGATCAGAATATGATCGACCACACAAAATCGTATCGACGAACAACGTTTTACTTATTTCGTTTTGCATGCATTTCTTTTTTCTCGATTGATTCTCTTCAACAGCCGAAACGATATTGGGGCGACACAGTACCATGGAAATTCGTTCAATTCATTTGGGTGGCATGTTCCATGCAGAAGAAGAAATTCAAATGACATCAACAATGGCGAATTTTATTGGGCATATACAAGGCTTTGTATATAATGGAAATCGGTATGAATGACTTTTACAATGTCCAAAACTAAAGTTCTTACTCATTTTTTGTTTTTGCGTGTACATTTGTAGATACATTGATATTGTGAAATCACTTGGTTCCGAATTGTCGGCACTTCCATTGACCACATTCAAATTGAATGCACGCTTCGTAACGCCAACACTATCAACACCATACCATGCAGCAACATTCCGTTCAAAGCATTCATATGTCGGTTTGGCCATGCTGAAGGCCTATTCAAATGTATTCATCGATTTTCGATTTAAAACACTCGAAGCAAACGGTTTATTGTTTTATAATGGTGGCCGACGAAATGATTTCATTGCTATTGAACTTGTAAATGGTCATGTACACTATATTTTTGATTTGGGCGATGGTCCAATAACGCTACGCGACAAATCTCGCATTCATATGAATGACAATCGATGGCATGTGGTTAGCATTCGACGGCCAGGACCAAAAACACATACGCTCATTGTTGACGATACAATTGAAGTGTATAATACACCTGGCAACAATATGCACATGGAATTGGAAGGTATTATGTATGTTGGTGGCGTATTCAAAGATATGTATACGAAATTACCATCGGCAATTATGTCACGAAATGGTTTCGAGGGATGTTTAGCGTCGATTGATTTTGCTGATATTTCACCAAGTCTGACCGAAGATGCCGTTGTACCCAGTTCGTTGGTTGTCAACGGTTGTGAAGGTCCAACGAAATGCAGTCAAAATGCTTGCGCCAATCGTGGCGTTTGTGTTCAACAATGGAACGCTTATGCTTGCGAATGCGATATGACCACATATTCAGGACCCACATGCTATGACGGTAAGGAGATTGATTCGAACAAATATAAACCGATTTTATGTGTGACTTTTCAATTTATTTAACAGAATCGGTTGCTTATGAATTTGGCGCTAACAAAGGAATGATCCAATACATGTATCCGGCTGGAAAGCAACCAGATACCGAAGAGGATTCAATTGCTCTTGGATTTATAACCACAAAATCGGATGCAGTCTTATTGAGAATAGAAAGCGCCACCACTCAAGATTACATGGAATTGGAAATTGTAATAGATAAAATAAATTAACACAATCGCACACTGTTTTACAAGCATTTTCATATCATTTGTGCTCCACACAGGTTGAGGGAAACATTTTTATGGTGTACAATATTGGATCACATGATCTTCCGCTTGGTGAAATTGGTACTAAGGTAAATGATAATGTCTATCATATCGTGCGATTCCAACGATTTGGTGGCAATGCAACACTACAACTTGACGATTACAATGTTCAAACTGTTCATCCCCAAGGTAATTGCTTTGAGTCTTGAAAGAAAAACAAAAAAAAAAAAAATAAAGAAAACAAACAACTAAAATGTGACACTATTTGTAAACAGGTCATCAATCAACCGTTTTCAATTCGATGGCGATGATTCAAGTTGGCGGGAAAATAACGCGTAACGGTCGTTTTCGTATCGAACGGCCATTTGTTGGTGTGGTCTCCGGTCTCTCTGTAAATCGATTGCGAGTACTAGATTTGGCAGCCGAACGAGATCCACATGTGACTGTTCGCGGAGATGTTCAATTGGTAACTGGAGTATTAGATAGAAATGATCTTCAAAGAATGCAGCAGGTTAGGAATTTTCAACGAGCTACACCAAAAAAAAACAACCACAAAAACCATTCCAAAAAACGTATTTTACCTATATTTTCTGTTTTTGTTGATCATTGCGTTGCATCAAACAGAAAATAACTACGCAAACAAACGAAATGTTGCAATTTTGAGCTATTTTGACTCATTTACGCAGCATTTGCTTGCAAAAATGTCGTCCGTTGTTTTGCTTGATATTTTCTAACTTCTCAAAATTTCTTCATCAGTGTCAACATTCGACATTTTAACAAATATATATTGTTTTGATTTTATTATGTGGATATTTCATGCGATGCCTTTCATTCATATGACAATTTTAAACGTTCCACCTCAACATCGGATAACTATAGTAATAATTTAAAATTTACATGTCGTTTTGTTTGACACTAAGTATTTTACTATATCGACTCCTCTATTTCTAAACATCAGAGCTTGCCAATGTATATATTTTATTTATGAAGATAAAAAAAACAACCCTACCAATCTCTTTCTCTATTTCGAAAATTCTGTAAATATTATTTGCATGATAATCATCAGCAATTTGTTATCATCTGTTGGACGAGAAAGATGAACAAAAATTGTAATGTAGAAATGATCGTCACTTTTGTGTCGTGATACGGGTGATAACAAACATTTCTCTATATCCAAATTTGAAATGGTAACAAACCAGCTGCAATCCGAGCAAGTGTCAGTAAAAAAAATCTAGACGTATTTATTATGTGTGTTTATGAATATTTAAATGTTTTCTTTTTTTATTCGAATATTACACTGAGACACAAAAAATAAGAAAAACTCAAATTCGCATGATAGATTCCCAGTGGCGAGAATGGCTTGTCTGTGTATAAATGTGATGAAAAAAAAAACAGAAAATAAAATCAAGACATTGACTGCCATTCTTGTCCATCTGTCTAATAACAGAATATACATACAATCAAATTCATTAAAAACACGAACATAAAACACTATTGAACACCCTTTCTTTCAATTCACTTTTTATTGATATCGATTTATTTTGTCATTCGTTCACCATTTAATCCCGTGGCCTTTAACACCGGTTACATTGTCACGAATTCTGTTCAATTCAATTTGAAACATTTTATAAAAAATGCATGAGTTTTGGTTTGTAATTTTTTTTCCACTCGCATCATTGATTTTTTATTTCAATAAACATTTATTTTCCTTTTGTACGTTTTGATATTGCACGCATATGGTTCATTTACTACTACTAGATTAGATTGGAATTTTTCGTTGTTTTTACCCTGTAATTGCCGGAAAATAAAAAAAAATATTATCAATTTATTTTAGACCCCTGCAAGTAGTTATCCAGGCGTGGTTGATGACCTAATATTTTCGGGAGCTGGTTCGGGTTGCCGTGGCGATGATGAGGACGAATGTACACCACCATTTGAATCGGGTAGCGGTGATGATTTAATCACTCCAGTTTATGTCCCACCAACGAAAAATCCAACGACACCGCACAAGACCGAAGAGACTAGCGTTAAAGAAGCATGCGACGATGAAGACTGTATTCATGGTTCGGGTGACTCTGGCAGTGTTACCGAATCGTTTACACCGACAACATCTAAAGGCACAGGTTTGCTTTTTGTGCTTCGAAACAATAAAAAAAATTGATTTTTAAATTGATTTTTTTTTCTTAATTTTTTTTTTTCAAATGCAGAAATAACAGATCGCAAATCATCATCATCATCATCATCGTCGTCGTCGTCATCAGCGTCATCAGGAACAACGAAATCATTGGATGATTTAAGTACAACAAATCGTGATACAAATACATTTGGTACAACACCCGAAATTGGAACGACAAATTACGGCACAAGCACAACATCGGGCAGTTCAACACAAAGTCAATCAACTCCGGCTGTAACTCGATCCGAAACTACATGGCCATCATCGACAAGTACACATTTGACGACCGTACCAATTCCAGAAACAACACATTTGCATAAAACAACCTCAACCAAAATGGATAATAACATTGATGATCACACAAGAGTAGATTATCGGTAAATTAAAGCGAAAAAATGTTAAATATCTGGTGAATTAAAAACAAAAAAACATTTTTTTTTGTAGTGAACGTAGCGATAGACCATCGTGGACGCCGAATCAGTTTGATTCAAAACCAACCGAACCAGAACCACCATATTTTCCACAGCCACAACCGACCCCATACACTCCAGGTGGTCCGCAGCGAAAAACTCCACATGGCGGTCGAATTGGTTCAGAGGCTGAAGAACGAGCAGCAATGATTATCGGTATAGTAGCTGGCGCATTAATTGCCGTTGTATTGGTTATATTATTGTTGATTTGGTTAAAATCAAACGGCGATCGAAATTATAAGGCCGATCCAGATATGCGAGCTTCCTACGGCCAAGGAGCGAATGCCGCATTACTTGGCAATAATTCATGTACGAATGGATCAAGACACCCAGTAAACGGTTCAAATGTACCATTGAATGGTTCATTGCGTTTGAATGGTAATGATAAAGCACAAGTGCCAGGTTTGGTTCCGCAAAAACCAAAGAAACGAGATTCAAAAGATATCAAAGAATGGTATGTGTAAATGGTTTCGCAAAAAAAAAACAGAATAATAAAAAAAAAAACACAATGTTACAGCCACAAAATAAGAAGAAAAAATCAATAAATAAATAAACGAATTTCACATAGAATCATAAAAATCAGCTCTCAATAGATGGCCAGACAGTTCATACTGCCAAACAAGAACAACAACAGAAATTTAAAAAAAAAATCTCATAAAAAATCTGTTCAATTTAAACAAATTTTACTTGAACACAATTGTCCAATTGACAATTTGAGCTTTATTCACTTAAAATGAACTGAAATACATGTAAAACGAATATTTAAACCATTATGAATTAAATGATTTTTTTTGTTCGATAAAAATGGTATAAATTGAAGCGATTAATTGTTATAAAGATTCAAAATTTAGGGAAAAAAAGAAGAAGGTGCTAAATGTTTAGAAAAGATAAGCAAACGAATGAAAAATAGAACGCATGATGAAAAAAATTATTAATTGTCATGGTAATATGTCAACGGAAAACGAACGAAAAAAAGAAGTAAATGTAAGGCACGCTAACATAGCACATACTCAATTCAAGTAATATCCACCAAAAATGCCCACTTATAACTAGAATGTTCAATATACTCTTCACAGCGGTAATAAGAGCCTTGGTAAATAATTTTTTTTTTTTTTCAAATACTGGACGACATCCAATTGAATGTTCGTCATCACGTAAAACAATTTGAAAAATTGTGGATATTTAAAGAAAAAGAATCATTTATTATGGGACTTAGCTGCCGTGTCAAAGTGCATATTGGCGCCACTACTTATAACAATCAATCTCAGATCCCCAGAAAAACACGACATTTTTCAGGATTATAAGAGTAATACCCAAATTTATATAAGTAGTGACTTAATACACCAGCTGAAAAAAGAAACTGAAATGTACCGAGCATAAAAATGAAAGGAAAAAGGTCAAGTGAATTTATAGTTGATGTTCCCTTGATTATGTGGATTGATTTCATATGTAATCACATCTCTCTCTCCAGCTAAAGAGAGACATAAATACACAAATACGATAACAATAAAACATGTGCAAAATGAACTCAATCATGTTAGCTGTCTTAATTTCCATTTCAATGTGTAACGAAATCGCCCCAAAATCCTTTTATGTGTACAATTAAAATATGTGTATAATTGAACATAAATCCAAAACAAAAACCATTAGTGACAAGGAACCTAGCGTAAATTTGTTTAGATAAAACTACAATATAAAAATCCGAATAAAAAGATACGGTAGATTTATTTAAGAAATTTTGTGCAACAAAAATCACACAAAAACACACACACACGAAAAAAGACAAAATTGTATAACAGGTTTGTGGAATGGGCACATGCACTCATCAAATGCACAGTTGCTGTGAGAATGAGATGCGATACATGAAAAAACGAAATTCTCTACTCAGTTACTTCATCTCTATGTACTCTTTCAAATCAATCGCAAAATACTTCAAAATACGATATTTAACGATTATTAAACAAAAAAAAAAACATCCCCACGCTTTTTCTTCACATGCACACACCATTTTCAAGTACAAAAAAAAACAATCCAATTCATTCGGAATTTTAAGATCAGAACGTAATCACAAGAACATTTAACTGAATTAAATTTAAAACAAACAAAAAAAAACTCCTCGTCTGTTATCCACGAATACACAAACAAAAGAAAACTTACTAACAATATACATAACAATTGAACAACAATTAAAATCGAATTGCACCCAATATTTCTAGCAATATTTCAAAGCCTTCTGAATAAATACAAATTTTAACAAGCAAACGTTTCTATTTCAAATTTTAAACAAATGTTTACATTTTTCAACATTTTTTCCTGTTCAAAAACCAATTCATCAACACAATTACACACAACTGAGAAAGAAAGAAAGAAAAAAACCAAAATATTCGAACGAGTTGAATGGCCGACCGAATTCGTTACTTAAAATTTATGTTTTAAATTCATTTTCGTTTGTTCTCCGTATGGAATTTGAATCTAGCTACAGAATGTACTGTGCCGAAAATATAAAGAGTCCATGATTAGGAAAATAATGTAGCAAAATGATATGTAGAGATAGAGAAAATGTTGAACGTATTTTGAAGTCGCATCAAAGATGGAAACCAGCAACTAAGGCAAATAAACGTTAACAAAACCCTTGTCAAAGACGAAAGAAAGAGACAATATCAGTAGTAAGATAATTTACTCCTAGAAATGCTCAAACCAAAACATTTTTTTTTTAGTAGTGACACGAGAGAAAGAGCAAAACTAATCCTCGAGTATTTAGAAGAGACACACACAATTGCAACGCGTTTTGAAAAGTGCTTTCGCTAATTTATAGTTTTGTTTTTTATTCGATAGAGATTTTTGTTCACACATTCGTTTCATCAATCATCCTTCATACATGCGCCCACTTGCTTTTTTTCCCCATTCACACCGATTTTGCTGTGTAATTGGGTGAACGTAGATCCATTGCTGACATCACCATTAAAACTGATCACCGCCAGTTAATTCATTAATCATTTTGTTTTTTGTACAAACCATTTAGTTGAGTATATAAGAGCAATAACAAAAACGAATGATCATAGACACAAACAAAAAATCACCCAAAAATGAGTTTGTTCAGTTTTTTCTGTTGTTTGTATTATTATTATTTCCTCATATAGGAAAACACATACAGGAAACCAACTCCAAAACGTAGTGTAATTGAAATCGTAAATGTAAACATATCAGAACACGGAATACAGAGATTGCACCAAAATTTTGATAACTTTCAAAGTTTTACCTCATCTTACTTTCGATGCAAATTTGAAAAATAAAAACCACAACAACATAGCTTTTTCCAAATATTTGGTTTTTTTTCCACTTTGAAACATATACAATTTATCACGATATTGATATGTAGTAAATCAACGTGAAAACGCTAGTTCGACGAGAATATTTTGAAATTCCGCCTTTTCCTAATTCTTCTTTGAAAAACCATTATTTTCAGAACAATTTTCGATTTTCCTCTTCACGTTAGATCATCAATTAATAAAAAGAAAAAATTCACAAACAGCAAACGAATAGATTTATGAATGATAGCTGCATCAAAATTAAAACGAACAAACTATTCATCATTAATCGACATTTCAACAGAGAAAAAAGCGATATTTATTCAATTTTATCTCTAAATTTGTCATATTTTTATTTCAAATCGGTTGAACTTTCCGAAATAATTAAAGACTGGTGTGCTTCAAATGATATATCCAATTCTAAAGTTGTCAACACATCTAAACAATATCGATTTTTATTCAATTCAATGTTTTTCGTTTCCATTTTCTCGATATTGTTCATATCAATGTTCTGATACAATTTAACTTTAACTATTATTTGTAATATGATATATGTTATAAACGCGCAGTGTTTTTAGAAAAATGGTCATAATGTTCGATGAAAAAAAACGAGTCGGTGCTGCTTGTATTGAGGCTGTCGAGATGAATTGATGAGAGAGTGCAAACGAATCGACTCCAATTAAATTCCATGAAAAATGTAAGAGAAACACATTGAAAATAAATAAACAAATCGTTTCGTCCAACTTGTTTGCTATATATAAATGGCACGAACCTATGCTAAGAATGAAAAGCCTCATGTAATCTAATAATATCAATTAAAAACTTCATATAATATGTGACATTCATTGACACTCACTCTCTCTCCAACGACATACACACGAGAGATGAAAAAAAAAAAAAACATTATTTAGCTAAAGACGAACAATTAACAGAAATCAGTATATAAGCAAAAGTTCTGAATTCGAGTAGAGCAAATAAATATGAAGAAAAGTAAAAGAGAGTATGTAAAACTGCACCAAAAAAAAATCATATATATATATAATTAAGGGATAGTACACTTTGTTTGGACTGATATTTTATTTATAATAAATGAGATTAATTTTTAATAAAAATGTGAGAAAGCTGATTGAATGTATCCATCTCTTGTATGGAGAATTCTTTCAAGTAAAAAAAAGGAGAAAGTTCAACAGCAATTGGCGCAAAAAGACGAAACATTCAAAACAAAAACAAAAATGATTAAACATAATCACACGCAAAACACTCATTTAGTACTTGTAACAATTATACAAATAATTTGTGAAATGAAATGGCAACCGATGGCAACAGATATGAATGGCAAAATAACATGCATCATTATACATTGGAATTAAAATAAAATAAAAAGAGTGTAAAATGTTATCTAGGATATAAAATTAATTATTTAACGAAAACTAAAAATATAAAACACAAACTACATGCGAACACAAAATGATTGGGCAAAAATATATAAGCAAATAAATACTTTAACTAGGAAAATTCCACGATGAAACCCAACTATAAACTTATGTACACTCGATACATGCTATTCGCAAAAAAAAACGATTCATTTATTGATATTCAAAATTCCCCGCTACATAGACACTCAGACACACATGCGAACACAAACATCCAACATGATAAAAACAAAGTTAAAATGAATTAAATTTAGGAAATGGTTATTATTATGCATATAATTCAATGTTTTTTGTTTTTACCATTAAAACTGAATGTTAAAGCAAAATCTAAATAATTAAATTGTATTCATAAGACATCGCTCTATCTCTTACACATCGACACACACAAAGAACACAAACAAATACACATACAAATCTTCAACTAAATAAATTGTCGTTGTGCGATCATTTATTCTTTAAAATGAGCGTTGAATTATTATTATTATTTTTTTTCCCTCCTTTCTAATAATTCTATCCCGATCATCTTTTTTCCTTCTCTCTGTTATGAAATCATGCAATTGTTACTTCGTTCCATTTAAATCGAATTAAAATGAAAAACCACAAAAAATTATTGAATAAAAAAAAATTGACAAAAAAAAAATCTTAAACTGATATTGCTATTGCGCGCGTCAAAACACACACACATATACCAGGAATACAAAAATTGTAGGGCAAATGAATGTTATGTTATTAAATGTAAAAGCAAATCGCATATTATTATGGAAAATGGAAGTATATGACACACGCAAGAATAAATGATGTGAATTCGATTGAAAACTGACAACAAAAAATCATAATAAATGATGTGAAAAAAAAATAAATGGTCTTACGAACGTAAGACGAACTTTTCCGCACTGTTTAACCGCAGTACACCACAAACGTTTCTTATTTTAAGCAATGGAATCATTTTTCAATGACATTCAAAAAAATATGTCTGACGTTAATTTTGCCATAGAAATTATTTTTGAAACACTTTCCATAACTAATGTCACAAAAAATTTGGATTTTTGTATGGGAGCCATGTCTGTATGCTACCTTAATGGTGTGAAACTTTGCACAGGTTGTTTTTTCACAAAAAAATAACATTCGGAGGGTTTGGAGAAATTTCAACCAAAATTAAGAGTACCTCCCATGCGAAATATTCGTTTTTGAGCCAAAAACTGAAAATGTTGTATGGGAGGTACCCCTAATTTTGATTGAAATCTCTTCAAACTTTCAGAATGTTATTTTTTTGTGTAAAAAATAGTCTGTGCAAAGTTTCACGTCATTAAAGTAGCATACAGGCATGGCTCCCATACAAAAATGCAATTTTTTTGTGATTTTTTTAAGGAAACTGTATCAATAATTGATTGTATCTCAAAACTAACCTCGGATTCGGTTTTCTCGTGCCAAAAAAACCCCCAATACATATTTTTGAGTGTTTAAGTCTACATTAAGTATGACTTTTGGACGAAAATTGGACTCTTTTTCATAGGTATCACTACAGGCATGAAATTTTTTTCCATCGTCGCTCAAAAGCTAATGATTTCTATTCCACGGGGCCCCCAATCATCCTGTAAAGTCAGATTTTGAATTAAGTTTCTACTATGAGCGCAATCTTGCTAACAAATTTTGCGTACGACGTACAACGTACGACGTACAACGTACGACGTACAACGTACGACGTACAACGTACGACGTACAACGTACGACGTACAGATTAACATAAACAATGCTCAAAACGGCCTAATTCGGGTTCTCTGACCTCAGAAACGTCCAGAAAACATGTTTCTGAAGTTTTCAAAATTTTGACCGATTACAATACTTTTCACCTTACACTATGTGTGCGGAAAAGTAAAAACAGAAAAAAACACACACACAAAAAAAAGATCAGTCATCATAGACTTTTTTTGGGAATTTATCCATAATCTTTTTATTTTAAAATTATATTTCAAGAAAAATAATTCAAATAAAAGTCGAATAAGCCATACAACAAATTGAAAATATTTTTGTCTTTTATTTCTTCATATTTTCGCATTTACAAATCAAACAGGTTTTTATTTTGAGTAGAATTTGGCAAATATTGTGTATAAATGAAGAAGTTACAAACTGTTATAAAAAATTAGAAAAAATATCGACCGGGGCAGGGTTCAAATATCCATTTTTTTACACCCACATATTACATAGTATTTTTTTCCGTATATTTTTTATAAATGCTTATATTGAAAGAAATGCTTATGTTTAATTTGAATAAAACGTACTTTCGAATGTCGAATCTATAAGAGAATAAAAAAAATATCGACAAGGATGAGATTCGAACTCACGCGGGCAGAGCCCAATGGATCCCTGCTTTGACTGTTATACACAACGTTAGCAGTCCATCGCCTTAACCACTCGGCCACCTTGTCATATGTCTATTCTACGGCGTTTCGTCTTCTATATTTTGTTACGCTCACTCATTGACGCTTTTTTTCACTGAGAACGAACGAATTCGTGAGTGGATATGCATACCGGTCAAAATAGTAACCCATCACAATGGGTTTTTAAAAGACGTTAGAATAACATACACTTGTATCAATATTTCTTTCGAAATGCTTCTTTTAGAGAGAAATGTAGCCAAAAATGTGCAATAGCAAAAAGAATTTGTCTTGCGACAAAAAGAGGTATAATTTTAACCTATTTTATGGGTCAATCAACTTAACATACATTATCAGTACTTATTATCAGAAAAATTCTTAAGCATTTTAACATTAACAAAATTGTAGAACATCACTTTTAGCCGAAAAAGATTAATTTATACCAAAGTCGTCTCATTACTACATCAAGAAATACGCATTCGCTTAAGAAATTGTATTTCATATTCAACTTGAACAAATAACAATGTTCAACGTCATCGGAAAATGTACGAAGAATTCAGGCACAAATCGACGGATTTATAAATTATTATATGACTTTCAAAGAAATGATTGACATTTGCTTTCAATTTAATCAAGTTTTCGGTCGCATTCACGTAAATTAATCGAGATAAAAAAAATGTTTTAAAGCGATCGATCTGAGCACAACATTCGTATGTCTGAGCATAAAATGTATTGGATATATAGTGTGAGTGAGTGAACATACTCACAACATTTCGTTTTCGTTTTTAACGCATATTTACAAACAACGTCATTCGTATTGACATTGAAACAACTGTCAAAATAGAAAAAAACGCTCAAATCACCATAACAATTCATTAGGCTTTTGTTTTCAAACAAAATGACAACATTTTAATCGTTTGACTGTATTTACAAATAGACATTTATTTATTTTCTTTTATATTAGTTAATTGATTTAAGTTATTGAAGAAAAACGAAAATCCAAATCTACGTGAGGAAAAATGGATGAAGATATATCTTCAAAAGTGAACATAGCATTTACTTGTTTAACATGTTTAACGCCTGTGATTTTGGACGAGTCCTATCGTAACATGGACGACTATGCCAAAAAAGGACTTAACCGTAAGTATCCATAATTTCATTTCATATTGAGAGTAAACTTGAAAAATATTTTTTTGGTTATAGAAAAAATTTAAAACAATCGTTTGATCTTGTATCAGCATAATTTCTGATTTAAATTAAAAAAAATCTATTTTTTATATTATAGTTCCAATCTACGATAAAAATAAAGATTATTTGATGCCACAATTTCGTTTGACTGATTCTGGTTTCACATTAATATCAAATGGTAAAGAGAATCTCATTTCAAAGGGGCAATTGCTGGACATTATTGTTGTTGTGGCTATTGCTTTGCAATTTTTTCATTATATGTTTCCGATTATTTTTCGATTATTCTCCGATTACTTATCGATTATTTTAAATTTTATTCTTTTCTTTTGTGATTCTCCCCTTAGGTAAAGAGAATCAAAGTCTCGGTACAACACTTAAGGCTCGTGCAAATCTCTTTGATTCGCTACAATCGAATTCGGAAATCGATCATCCGTTGTGCGATGAATGTACTGATACCATGCATGAATTAATGTGCCAACAAATAAAAGTGGCTGAAGGAGAGTGGAACGACTACAATAACTATCTACAGAAACTCGAGCAAACTGATAACTCACCGGCTATCGAACAGCTTAAGAAAGAATTGAACGATTTGGAAATGGAAGAAAAGCGTTTGATTGATGAATTGGAGAAGATAAAACAGGAAGAAGTATCAGTGAAAGAAACATATAAAGTAGAGAAAGAAGAGAACGAAAAACTCCTCGTTGATGAGGAAAAGTATCGTAAGGAATATTCAAAGACACGACGTGAATTAATGCACTCCGAAGACGAATATCACAGTCTCAAATGTCAAGTTGCGTACGCAAATGACGAATTGAAAAAGTTGAAGCAAACAAATGTATTCAATATGACGTTTCACATTTGGCATTCGGGTCATTTTGGAACAATCAATACATTCCGATTGGGTCGATTGCCATCGGCTCCCGTTGATTGGTCGGAGATAAATGCCGCATGGGGACAAACAGCACTATTACTATCAGCATTGGCACGTAAAGTGAATTTAACATTCGAACGATATCGATTGGTTCCGTACGGTAATCATTCGTATATTGAAGTGTTGGAAAATGGAAAAGAGTTGCCACTGTATGGAACGGGAGGCTTTCGATTTTTCTGGGATACAAAATTTGATGCAGCCATGGTGGCATTCCTAGACTGTTTAGCACAATTCAAAGACGAAGTGGAAAAGGGTGACAAAGACTTTTGCCTACCGTATCGCATCGACAAAGGCAAAATCGAAGACACATCAACTGGCAGTTCCTATTCGATCAAGTAAGAAGAAACTATACATCGACTTCCGTTTGATTTGTAAATAATCAGTTTCGTTTTTCTCTCTCTTTAATTTCAGAATTCAATTCAACTCAGAAGAGCAATGGACGAAGGCGTTAAAGTTTCTATTGACCAATTTAAAATGGGGTCTCGCATGGGTTTCATCACAATTCACTGATGAACCAATAACACTATCAGATCTGAGCGAAAGTGCTGTATCAGCATCGAATATTTAATAATTTTAATATTTTCTATATTCTAATAATATAAATATTTTTGTTAATTACAAATCTTATTCTTTATTAAATCATTGAAATTATTAGTAAATTGAGAGTTTTATGATAAATATGAATTACTCGACTATTTCCTCTTCGTCGCTGAAATATGTACTTGGTTTGAACTTCTTCCTCTTGTGAACTGTGATCGATGTGACTTCGTTATGTGTTGTGGTCTCCTACAAAGAATTCCATTCGATAATTAGATTATTCAAAATAAACATTTGAAATAAAAAAATATGAAGTTGTATGTTTAACCTCTTCAATGCATGGGGTTCCATTGACATCATTGTTGCCAGTATTTTCTGTGGCTATTGGTTTGCATTTTTGGATACGCTTCTTTTGTTTAGGTTCGCGATTACCAAGCACATTAACTGGACACTTATAGCTTAGATGTCCATGCTCACCGCACTCATAACAGCTCTGTTTATCAGGATATACTCGTTTGGCATCAAACTCGGTTGTCCGGCCATTATCTTTGGCTATGCTAACTTTGATTGTGCGACCGAACATCTGAAAGAAATTTTAAATCGCTCAATACACGAACTAATTCATAACATTTCAATTGATTTAAATAAAATCATGTTTTTCTACCTGTGTGTTGTCGAGTTCGAGACAAGTTTTAGCATCGGCTGCATTCAGAAACTGAATAAAAGCAACACCCTTACTTTTGCGTTGTTGATTTTTCATTACAGTCACCCTACGAAAGTGTCAAATTAATAAATGAAACTCTTGAACTTGTTCGTGTACTTACTTGACAATTTTTCCATATTTACTAAATATTTTATGTATATCATTGTTAGTTAATGAAAATGAAAAATTTGATACATAAACTGTACTTTTTACTGGATCATGTACGACACTCATTTTTAAATCATTTGGCAGCAGCAACGAAAATAACAATAACCACAATTACAAAAACCCTACGTCAAAATAATATTGAGTGACAAAACAAAGCAACATTTGCTCAATATGTCATTGTATATGTATTTCACTCAATTTGAGCACAACGAATGTCGAAAAAAAAGAAACATATGATCTGTATAAATTAACAAAGGACTTTATTATTACACTTGGTGTGAATGAGGAATATAGAAAATATTAAAATTATTAAATATTCGATGCTGACACAGCACTTTCATTTAGATCTGGTAGTGTTATCGGTTCATCAGTGAATTGTGATGAAACCCATGCGAGACCCCATTTTAAATTGGTCAATAGAAACTTTAACGCCTTCGTCCATTGCTCTTCTGAGTTGAATTGAATTCTGAAATTAAAGAGAGAGAAAAACGAAATTGATTATTTACAAATCAAACGGAAGTCGATGTATAGTTTCTTCTTACTTGATCGAATAGGAACTGCCAGTTGATGTGTCTTCGATTTTGCCTTTGTCAATGCGATACGGTAGGCAAAAGTCTTTGTCACCCTTTTCCACTTCGTCTTTGAATTGTGCTAAACAGTCTAGGAATGCCACCATGGCTGCATCAAATTTTGTATCCCAGAAAAATCGAAAGCCTCCCGTTCCATACAGTGGCAACTCTTTTCCATTTTCCAACACTTCAATATACGAATGATTACCGTACGGAACCAATCGATATCGTTCGAATGTTAAATTCACTTTACGTGCCAATGCTGATAGTAATAGTGCTGTTTGTCCCCATGCGGCATTTATCTCCGACCAATCAACGGGAGCCGATGGCAATCGACCCAATCGGAATGTATTGATTGTTCCAAAATGACCCGAATGCCAAATGTGAAACGTCATATTGAATACATTGGTTCGTTTTAACTTTTCAAGTTCTTCGTTTGCGTAAGCAATTTGACATTCCAAACTGTGAAATTCGTCTTCGGACAGCATTAAATCACGTCGATACTTTGAATATTCTTTACGATACTTTTCCTCATCGACATTGAGTCGTTCTTTCTCCTCTTCTTGTGATTTGATCGTATCCTTCACCGAATCTTCTTCACGCTTCAGTTTTGCCAATTCGTCAATCAAACGCTTTTCTTCCATTTCCAAATCGTTCAACTCTTTCTCTAACTGTTCGATGTTCGGTGTGTCATCAGTTTGCTCGAGTTTCTGTAGATAATTATTATAGTCGTTCCACTCATTTTCAGCCAACTTCAATTGGTGATCCATTAGCTCGAGCAGTGTGTCAGTGCATTCATCGCACAATGGATGGTCGATTTCCGAATTTGATGATAAAAAATCAAAGAGATTTGCACGAGCCTTGAGTGTTGTACCGAGACTTTGATTTTCCTTACCATCGGATATCAACATGAAGCCATTTGTTCCCGTTCCCGAATCAGTTAACCGAAACGGTAGCACCAAATGTTCCATGTTCGTTGCTTGTGAATCGATTTCGGCATTCTTTTTTGCATAGATTGGTACTGTAAGCGAATGAAACGATTTAATTTTCACATTTATTCATAATATGAATTCGGATGACGCATATAATTGGATTACTTACGAGCTAGTTCAGCTCTGGCATAATCGTCCATATTTCGAAAAGACTCGTCCAAAATCACAGGCTGCAAACATCTTTGACATGTAAAACTTATGTTAACTTTTTCGCCATCCATTTTAATTCAAGTGGATTTGCAATTTTTGGTTTCTTCAAGAAATTAATCAAATCGATAAAAACGAATGTGAATAAATAATTGTTTATTTGTGATTATATTCAAGCAAGTGAAATGTTATCATTTTGCTTGAGAACAAAAGCAATGAAATTTTATAGCAATTTGAGTGTTTTTTTTATTTTGACAGTTGTTTCAATGTCAATACGAATGACGTTGTTTGTAAATATGCGTTAAAAACGAAAACGAAATGTTGTGAGTATGTTCACACACTCTCACTATATATCCAATACATTTTATGCTCAGACATACGAATGTTGTGCTCAGATCGATCGCTTTAAAACATTTTTTTTTTATCTCGATTAATTTACGTGAATGCGATTGATAACTTGATTAAATTGAAAGCAAATGTCAATCATTTCTTTAAAAGTCATATAATAATTTATAAATCCGTCGATTTGTGCCTGAATTCTTCGTACATTTTCCGATGACGTTGAACATTGTTATTTGTTCAAGTTGAATATGAAATACAATTTCTTAAGCGAATGCGTATTTCTTGATGTAGTAATGAGACGACTTTGGTATAAATTAATCTTTTTCGGCTAAATGTGATGTTCTACAATTTTGTTAATGTTAAAATGCTTAAGAATTTTTCTGATAATAAGTACTGATAATGTATGTTAAGTTGATTGACCCATAAAATAGGTTAAAATTATACCTTTTTTTTGTCGCAAGACAAATTCTTTTTGCTATTGCACATTTTTGGCAACATTTCTCTCTAAAAGAAGCATTTCGAAAGAAATATTGATACAAGTGTATGTTATTCTAACGTCTTTTAAAAACCCATTGTGATGGGTTACTATTTTGACCGGTATGCATATCCACTCGCGAATTCGTTCGTTCTCAGTGAAAAAAAGCGTCGATGAGTGAGCGTAACAAAATATAGAAGACGAAACGTCGTAGAATAGACATATGACGAGGTGGCCGAGTGGTTAAGGCGATGGACTGCTAAGTTGTGTATAACAGTCAAGCAGGGATCCATTGGGCTCTGCCCGCGTGAGTTCGAATCTCATCCTCGTCGATATTTTTTTTTCCTATTTTTTATAACAGTTTGTGACTTCTTTATTTATCCACAATATTTTCCAAATTCAGTAAATCATTTAATTTCTATTTAAAAAAATAATAATGCCGCGTATATAAAATTTGCGTTTTTGTTGTTGTTTTGTGATGATGAAGCAAAATTCTGGAAAGTGAATGAATCAGATTTTTTTTTTTTTCAAAAATAATGTAAAAATTTGCAATCACATTATTTATATAAAAAAATTCAAATAATTTTTAATATTGCTATCAAGAATTTAATTTGCTCATTAAAACCATGTAGAGTAAAAGAAGAAATAGGCCGTGGGGTTATGTGAATTACTTTCAAAACAATTTTATTCATTTATTTGATGTTGAAATTTTTTTGTTTGACCAAAGGCATTTAAAGTCTTTAACGCGATGTGCTTAAAGATATTAGTATATAAATTTTCAATGCATGTGTTTTATATCAAAAAAAAATATTCCTTCGGATTTTATAAGTTACATTTAAATATTGATGACTCGGCTAAGTTTTTGGATGCGATTCAAGAGTAAATCGCCCTGTTTGATTGTCGATTGATACTGCCAATTCTTGTTGTCCGGACGATTTGTTTCGACAATTTTGCCAACACGATCGACTTTGCAATGTAAACGGCCAGCTGCAATGAATCGAGAGAGTTCAGCATCAATGTAATCGATTGATACGCCAAAAGTTTCGGCCATATATTCCAATGTTAGTGAACGATATGAATCAAGAAGTTGTGTATACGCAATGATTCTCATTTCACGCGTATAAAAACGATAGTGTGGATGAGCCAAATAATCTTGACGTAGTTCCATCTCAACTTTCGACAATTCCTTAAAGAAATCAGCATATTGACAATCATACAATGAGAACAAGTATGCCTTAACCGTTGGCAATGAGTGTAAAACTTCTTGGATTTCAGCACCTTTGATCACTTTGTCACGCAATTCATTTCGTGGTAGGCTGATGATTGCAACATAAACGGTGTACCGCACAAATGTAACATAGTCCATCAATTCATACGATGTAAATGTGCTAACCGTATCCAAAAAGAAAGTGGCCGCACTTTTAAAATCACGAATTGCGATGCTGTAAACGCCTTGATAAACCTTCAATCGATTGCGTCGATCCCAATCGCCGCCCTCTTCGATCAATGTTTTTGCCTTTTCAATGTTCCGTGTGATGAGATCGTGGTCCAAATAGAACAATCCCAATCGTATGTTGTGAAACACAATATCCAAACGATGACCAAGCGATACGGTCTTTTCGTATGTTTTCCTAAATGCCGATACAGCTGCTTCTTTGTCACCGATGCTGCTGAGATATTCCGATTTCTTGAGATTTGCTTCGCGTACCTCACCTTCGCCCAAATTCTTTTCAGCATCTTCGATGGCCGCATCCAATTCTTCCAACTTTTGTGTATTGGCCTTTTTCATGTTATTCAATAGCGTTTGATCAACGGGCCAGCCCAAATCTTGGCATACTTGCTCATACCATGGTGCCATATTATCCGCTTTGATGCTGTTCATCAATTTCTCCAGCAACGATTTGTCGCCTTTGTATTCGGCCAATGTCAACAGAAACTTCGTTTGAGCCAATTCCAAGTTTGGGTTCTTCTCCAAACCTTGTTCTTCGAGATTTTCCGCTGGCATTTTTACGAATCTTTTTTTTTTCTCTTCTTCACGAATACGATTCAATGAGTAAATGCACAAACAAAGATTAATCTTTGATCAAACTGAATATTTATTATGATTATTAAAATTTGTTTCGAACTTTTACACACGACAAATGAGCGTATTGTATGTTGCTTCTCGTTTTAGTAGAATGTTGGGAGAAAACCGCAATGTCACGTTTGACGTGAAGTTGCTTCGCATTGGTGTGTATGCAACAGTGCTGCCAACCGTTGAAAATACAATTGATTGAAATTTCAATTTGAAGTTTGAACATTTACTCATTTACTAAATGATGAGTGATATCATTATATTTGATTTTCTCTCGAAGTAAACATTACATTATCTTGCTAAATCATATTGACGCAGTGCGTTCATGTTTGTGTTGTCGTTTCGATATAAATAATTGTCAATTAGTAATTTATTCAATTATTTCGTTTGATTGAACTCATGTCTGGCTCTTGTTATGCATGTTCAAAAAAATACGGATTTTTCTGCAAAGAGGTAAGTCAATAATCAATAATATGCAAATAATTTCAATATTGGTTCTTTTTTATGTGGCATAATTTTCAGGTAGGATGTCCGAATTGTGGATTTTCATTTTGTACAAAATGCCTTAAAAAGACCATCGCTGTACCGAGATGCGGTAATTCGGAGCGCAAAGTATGTTTATCATGTTTTGAAAAGTTATCGAAAGAAAATCCACAACAGACTTCGTCGAAACAACAGCAACAAAAAAGGTAGGCGAACATTGAACTTCGATGATGAAAATAATGACATTTTAATATGATTTTCAAACGAACATTTTCTTTTTATTCATCAAAACAGTATTAGTGGTCAATTGACAGTGGCACCAGGCAGTTCCGTGCTAGATGCTCCAATTCCAAATGAAGAACAATTGCCTGATATTGATGAGGAGATAAAAAAGCGACTAGAAGTGGTGAAACAGCCAACAAATGATCTGGATAAAGAATTTTCGGATCATGGCATTGCCGAACGTTTGGCCAATTTAAAAGGAATGCCAAATAAGGAATACGACCATCGTGCCATGTTGAATGCGGTTGATAAGCGAACTGATAATGAAAAAGCAAGTGATTTAGTGGAACAATTTATGAAAGAAGTTAATTTGGACGAAGCGACAAAAGAGAGCTATGAAGATCCAATAAAAAGTATCGAACGTCGTTTGGCTGCGCTAAAGGGTTCACCAACAGGGCAAACTGATGAGAACCGATTATCCGATCAATCCCCAGAAGATGAAGAGACGTTAGCAAAGAAAATTGTTACCAAATTCTTGGATGAAGCTGCACTACCCGATTCCGATTTAACGCCCGATGAAAAAGAGTATGTGAATAGCATTAAACCAGATCAAAATACTGAAGAATTGCCATGGTGTACGATTTGCAATGAAGACGCAACAATTCGTTGCGTTGGCTGTGATGGCGACCTATTTTGTCGGGCATGCTTCAATGAAATCCACGCAAATGATGAAGAATACCGTGAACATCAAACGAAAAAATTTATTCCAAAGGAAACACAATCGCAATAACGTTCTTGATAAAATTGAGCTTTTTTTATTTTACATTTGAAGGATCTATTTTAACGTTTGTTAAATTTGTTAATAATTCATGCTAAAAAAATAAATAAAGAAGAATTATATATTTTGTTAATGTTAAATTTGATAAGGTTTCTCTTGCTTGCAATAGTAGTAATAAATACTATTTATCTCATAATTAATAAGAGTTTCGAGTGCGCATTATTTGTGTCAACTTTTTAAATGGTCGGCTAGTTAGTCATTTAATTATTTATTCACTTTTTTTTAAATATTATTATTAGTTAAATTCAAAAATATGGCATTCATTAAAATTTGTGCCTATGCTCTCAACTACGTAAGCGAATTGTACAGAGGCACACGATTTATTTCATTTTCGTTTGAATTAGGTTTGTCTTTGTCTTCAAATATTCAACAAATTTGCATATTAAGTCGAGTAAAATGAAGTGCTATTTCAATGAAAAATTAACCTGAAATGGTGGAAGATATTCTACATTCGTTATATTTATATATAACTGTTCGTTATTTCGATTTTTTTTTTGACTGTCTGGTTTGACTACATCTTTTGTTTTTTCCTGTTTTATCACATATTTGTCCAATATAATTCGTTGGAATACCATTGTGGTTCGGTAACGATCGGCAATAAATAGATCCAGCTAACTAAACCGATAACATAGCAACTTAAAATTATGTATTTTTTATTGTCTTGCTGTAATAACACTTCCTGAATATCAGGAAATCCCATATGATTGCAAAATGCATGTGCTATAAATGGTGCGATAAAATGTCCCGTTTTTGCAAATAAATAAGCTGAATAAATGCCAAATATTCCGGTGTAGGCAAATTGAAATGCTACAAAGAGAAAAAAAATTCATTCAAGCAAAAAAAAAAACATAAAAATAAAATCGAAAGCAGTCAAGAAATTATACAAACTTGACACAATGAGCGCCGTTTTCCAGTCCATTCCCGATCGAACACGTTCGATGTTATGATGCAGATGCGCTACACCGAAAAACAATGGCGTTAGAAGAACGGCAGTGGTTGGTCGATATGACTGGAGCAATAGTGGCATCATACAGGCACGAAATGTAAACTCTTCTGATAACGGTGCCACAATGTGATTCCGTATCCACAATATATTCTTAAAGCTATCCATCCAATAATTTGGCTCCAAATACAATTTCCACACGCCATTTATAATAATTGCACAAATTGGTCCTAAAAATAATGTGGCCGTTAACAATAACGGGACGAATAATGCTGCTAAAACGCCCTTCAATCGAAAGCCCATAATTTCCCATATTGTAATGTTCGTTGATCGATTGGCCAGCAATAACATATAAATAAATACAGGCGATATAAGCATCACCATGAAAACGCTAAAGAAACGTTTCTTCACCGTCGACGGATGATCTCTGCAAGGATGCAAAAAAAAACACAATTCTCAATGATAACGATGACAAATAACTGAAAACGGTCCAAACAGAGCGCGCACAGTCTCAGTGAATAAAAAATTCTTCCGATGCGTGTCAATTTGAAAAATGTTTTTGATTTGATTCTCGATCGGCAATTTTTCTATAAAAAATGCTAAAAAGATGTCATACCTATTATGCTCGGATCGCCATACATATAAACTACCCACATAAATTAACGATAGAAATAAACATGAAATTGTGGAATAATAAACAGATAATTTTGGTACAACCGTATCTGACTCCATTTTGACATTCAATGAACTTATTTCATCTGACATTTGGTGCAATGGAAAAGTGTCCATGCAGAGTGTGATATATGAAATAAAAAAAACAACAACCTACTACCAACCATAGAATTATAAAAATTAAAATATATTGTCAAATATTCAATTTCGAATTTTTGTTTCGTAATTCAAATCAAAAGTCATCAGTCGAAAATGTTCAGCAAATAAATGACATAAATTGATTGAAATTAAATTTTCGATTCGGTCATGACAAACATTTCAAAAATAAATACAAGATATGAATGAATATCGAATCGAATTAGACAACAATAACATGTCTACATTGTATATGTATATGTCTTTGACAACAAATGTCTGCATGAAAATTTATCCATGGATAAATTGTGGGAATGTGTGTGTGTGTGCCGTTTTTATCTATGGATAATGTCTGTACATGAGCGATTCCATTGATTGTACCAACAAAAACCTGTTCAAAAATAAAAGAAATCTAGTTTAGTGGGTTGGCCCTTTTTGGCAGCTTCGTGAAAAATTATGCAATTTTGCGTTTAATTTTTCCTTGGTAAAACAAAGCCGAAAAGTGGATTTTTTTTTGCATAATCCAACATTAAAACATTGTTTCAATGGAAAATCAATAAAATATCGACGAAATTATCAAACAACAAAATTTTTTTACACCGAACATCGAAAGAATAAAAACTTCGTCGTCGAAGTTCCATTGTGTGCTCGTTTTTTTTCTCTCTCTTTTCATTTATACATTTGCAATCGGTGTGAAGAGTGTCCATTAAGTGTTTCCTTCATTCCGTTTTGTTTGTTTCGTGCGTACGGTGTGTCGGTGTATTATTTCGCTGCGCATATAGTTGTGCTTGCTGATGGTAAAAATTCAAAGCAAGACCAAGAAAAAACCAACCAGTCTACACACACACACATAAATATAGACATATACATACGAAGAAAGAGAGAGAGGCACTCACATACACATACATACAAACAAAGCCACCTATACAGACAAAGAGAACGCAAGAGGTGCACATACAACTACATGAACTGTTCGGCCTGTATCGTACGTCGCATCGCATTTTATTGTATTTTTGTGCAGTGTTGAATTTATTGTATCCATAGTATTATGGCTGCTGAAGTGTGTTGTTCCATCAAAATCAAAAACAAATATTAAAATGGCTGCCGGGGCTGTAATCATTTTTGTAGTCGTCTCCTTTGTTTAGGGATAATACACAAATACAGTCACATAACTTGATCATTGCTTCTACCAAATTTCGAGGCGAACGCAAAGAACGAAGCAATCAAGAGAATAAATAGGCGAAGAAAAAAGAAGAGACGAAGAAGAAGAAAGAAGAAAAAAAACACAACCAAGAAACCTACACAAAAGCACGGCTCGGCTCGCACACATTGATAAAAAGTGGCACACAACATTTTTTTATTATTATTATTTATTATTTTTTGTTGTTGTTGTTCTTGTTGTTGAAGTGTTCTTCTTTTTTTGTCGGATTCGCTCGAATATTTCGCATGTGTGAATATATATACATATAATTAAAGTGTGTGTGTTCATTGTAAAATACAATTATTTTGATACGAATGTAAAGAAGTAATCGGGCAGCCGAGTGAACCGAAAGAAAAATTAACGCACACAAACATTTTCGCTCGTACACACAAACACACGTATACACATTCTCTCAGCCAAAGTGTATCTGAGTACAACATCAAAAACCAAGAAATTGAACAAGAAAAAGAAGAAGCAGTCACAAGGAGCAGCAGTGGCACGGGCAGCAATTGTAGCAGCAGGAGAACGAGAAATTTATACACATTTTTTTATTTTATTTCTAATTAAAATTGAATTATTCAGTTTGGTGTGTACAAAAAATTGTCTGTTCTCTGGAAATAAATATGCCGAGTGCATCGTTTACATCATCAAAATCGTATGTGAGAAGATCGCGACGAAAAGGTGCCAATCGCATTGCATTGCCGTCAAGAACGTCTTCAGGTAATAAATTCACCTTTGAGTCTCACTTCAAAAGTTCGAATTTTTGTTTTAAAGTGAATTTTGTGAGGAAAAAAAAACCCAGCGAATAAAGCGAAATAGGAAGAGGGAGAGAAAAAAAAGAAAAAAAAATGACGTGAATCAAAATGCTAATACCGTGTGTGTTCTTGTTGGTACTCGCCTTGCCATTTGTGTATGTGTTTTTATTTTTAATAATGTGTCGTGTAAATGAGAAAAAACACTCTTATTGACCTGCACATCGTTTTCATAATCGAACATAAATTTCCAGTATAAATGTGAACATATATGATTTTGCAGCAAATGAAAAGAAATTCTAGATGTAAAAAATTAATTAATATGAAATATTTAAAATGGGAAGTCAAAAACTGAAACTATAAAATCCAAATGCTAAAACCATGACATCGAACTTTTTTTTATGGACCAATTTTTCATATATATTTTTTTTTTTCGTCGATATAATTCATGCGTGGAAATAGGCATAATAGATAACAACAATACATAAACAAACAAAGAAAATAAATTTCGATTGTATTTTGATTCGAACAAATGAGTTCAAATTTTTATAAGAAAAACATGTGTACTGAATAAATAGAATGAAAGATAAATCATATGGAGTGGTTAATATTTGAGTCACACCAAATTAAACGAGACAAAAACATGATCTAAACCATATTTTCTGGCCAATCGTTATATATTTGTAACTTGATTTGTTAATACAACACTTGAAATTCATTGGCATTATCAATTTTTCTATTCATTTTAGCTGATCCGTGTGAACCATGTCAAAATTCTATTCCAGGCCCAAATGTTGGCTCTGCTCCAAGTGGAAGTTCCTCAGGTTAGTTATTCAATTGCCTCAAATGTTTCACTGTCTAACATGATTTATTTGCTGTTTTAATTTGTGAATCATTAAATAATTGTGATTAATCGTCTTATCTAATTTTTTCTGTGTTTTATGGTTTTCATTTGAATTCGAACATTTTAGCTGCTGCACCAAATCCAAATAATCCAGTAATTCCGAATATAAGTACATCACCAACTGCCACCTCGACAAATCATCAATCGCCATATGATTTGCGAAAAAAGTCGCCGACATCAAATCTGGATATTTGGAGTAGCGGGCCATCAACATCTGCCAGTAGCAATAGCACGTATCAATATCAATCATCCTCATCATCAACATCAGCAGCAGCAACAACCTCCACATCAACATCCACATCAACATCAAATTCAACGGCAACTGCAACATCAACATCCACCCAATCATCGTCGTCGTCAGCATCCACCTCATCACAACCATGTGCAACGTCAAACGTTTGTTCCGTTGCATTGGGACATGCATCAAGTAGCAGTAGTAGTAGCAGTAGCAGCAGCAGCAGTAGCAGTAGCAGTAGTAATAATAATAACGATCCATGCAGCGTATCATTTTCCAGCATTCCATCATCGAGTAGTTGCTATTTATTGCCAGCCCGAAAGCGACCGCGTCGTATCTATTCGGCTGGAATTGATACAACGGTCACATCAGCTGCCCACTACTTGCAATACGAAATGCCCGACGAAGTTCTATTAACGATCTTTTCCTACTTGCTGGAGCAGGATTTGTGTCGTTTGTCATTAGTTTGTAAACGCTTCAATACAATTGCCAATGATACAGAGCTATGGAAGCGACTGTATCAAAATGTCTACGAATACGATATGCCATTATTTAATCCCGAACCGTGCAAATTCCATTTTGTCAAAGCCGAAGATTCCGAATACGCAAATCCATGGAAAGAAAGTTTTCGACAACTATATCGTGGTGTCCATGTACGGCCTGGTTATCTAAATAAACGATATAAGGGTAGAAATATTTGCTACTTTGAAAATGTTCAATCAGCATTAGATTATGCCGATGAACGATCGTCAGCGAACAATAATTGCTCAAATAACAATTTAGCATCAGCAAATGCATCAAATAGTCTGGTTTGTGGTAAGTATATCATTTATGAATTTCGGTGTGAACAAATTTTATTTTGGGAAAATTTACATTGATTTTTGGAATTTGTGCAGGTAATGAAGAGGTCGCTGAAAATCCGGGCAATTTGATATTCCTACATGGTGGCCATTATCGTGGTGAATTCTTAGTGATTGATTCAGATGTTGCGCTAATTGGTGCAGCACCAGGCAATGTTGCCGAATCCATAGTATTAGAACGTGAATCCGAATCGACGGTTATGTTTGTCGAAGGTGCAAAACATGCTTATGTTGGACATATGACATTAAAATTTTCACCGGATGTTACATCAACCGTTCCACATCACAAGCATTATTGTCTCGAGGTTGGCGAAAATTGTAGCCCAACTATTGATCATTGCATCATTCGGAGCACATCAGTCGGTAAGTTGGAGTTCAGATTGCATTAAGCGTAGGTTTGAGTGAGAATGGCATGGTTAATGGGGCAAAATATTTTCTATCATTTAGTTGGCGCAGCTGTTTGTGTGAGCGGAGTCGGGGCAAATCCAGTAATACGTCACTGCGATATTAGCGATTGTGAAAATGTTGGCTTGTATGTCACAGATTATGCTCAAGGAACATACGAGCACAACGAAATCAGCCGAAATGCATTGGCTGGCATTTGGGTGAAGAATTTTGCCAGTCCAATTATGCGAGAAAATCACATTCATCACGGTCGCGACGTGGGCATTTTCACATTTGATAATGGCATGGTATGCATTCTAATTTACAATTCATTTTAGTCATTTAATTGAGTGGTTTTTATTATTTATTTTCCTCGTAGGGATATTTCGAGAAAAACGACATTCACAACAATCGAATCGCTGGTTTCGAAGTAAAAGCTGGAGCAAATCCGACGGTTGTTAAATGTGACATCCATCATGGCCAAACAGGTGGCATTTATGTGCACGAAAACGGATTAGGTCAATTTATAGAAAATCGAATTCATTCCAATAATTTTGCAGGTTTGTTTCGAACAATGTTTTTTTTACCTACTCTCTCTCTCTGTGTGTGTGTGTGTGTTTGTGTTCTCCAATTTTGAAATCCAATAACCGAAAAATCGATTGTCAACATTTGCAGGTGTTTGGATAACATCGAATAGTAATCCAACAATTCGAAAAAATGAAATTTACAATGGTCATCAGGGCGGTGTATACATATTTGGCGAAGGTCGTGGCCTAATCGAACACAATAATATTTACGGGAATGCATTGGCTGGCATTCAAATTCGAACGACAAGTGATCCAATCGTTCGGCATAATAAAATTCATCATGGTCAACACGGTGGAATTTATGTGCATGAAAAAGGTCAAGGATTGATCGAAGAAAATGAAGTGTATGCAAATACATTGGCCGGTGTATGGATAACAACGGGCAGTACACCGGTATTGCGACGCAATCGAATACATTCGGGAAAACAAGTTGGCGTTTATTTCTATGACAATGGCCATGGAAAATTAGAGGATAACGATATATTTAATCATCTGTATTCAGGTGTACAAATTCGAACTGGTAGCAATCCAGTGATTAGAGGCAATAAAATCTGGGGTGGCCAAAATGGTGGCGTCTTAGTTTACAATGGTGGTCTCGGTTTACTTGAACAAAATGAAATCTTTGACAATGCAATGGCCGGCGTTTGGATAAAAACCGATTCGAATCCAACATTAAAACGCAATAAAATTTATGATGGACGTGATGGTGGCATTTGTATATTTAATGGTGGTAAAGGTATTCTCGAAGAGAATGACATTTTTAGAAATACACAGGCTGGTGTACTGATATCGACACAAAGCCATCCGATACTACGACGAAATCGAATATTCGATGGTTTGGCAGCTGGTGTTGAAATTACCAATAACGCAACGGCCACACTGGAATTTAATCAGATATTCAATAATAAATTTGGCGGACTGTGTTTGGCCAGCGGTGTACAGCCTATTGTTCGTGGCAATAAAATATTTAATAATCAAGACGAAGTCGAAAAGGCCGTTTCCGGCGGACAATGTTTATACAAAATCTCTAGCTACACATCGTTTCCCATGCATGATTTCTATCGATGTCAAACGTGTAACACCACCGATCGCAATGCCATTTGTGTAAATTGTATTAAAACATGCCATGCTGGTCATGATGTCGAATTCATCCGCCATGATAGGTAATTTATTTGTTTTTTTTTGTTGTTGCTTGACATAACTTCATTTACTATTTAAATGTTACGAAATTTTCAGATTCTTTTGCGACTGTGGCGCTGGAACACTCACAAATCAGTGTCAGTTGCAAGGTGAACCAACACAAGATACTGACACACTATACGATTCGGCTGCTCCAATGGAGTCACACACATTGATGGTGAACTAGGGTCTTCTATTGATCGTAATGCTGTGTTAAACAAAACAAAAACTAAACAAAAGAAAAATCTAAAAAAAATAACAAAAATGTTAGGATAAAATGAAATAGTATTATTATTGTTAAATCGAAGGCAATGTGTAAATGAAATCGGATAAAATGGATTACTAAATCAACAAAAAAAACACACACAACCACAATACACAACAAATCAACAAACTAAAAAAATACGATTAAAAATCATATGACACAATTACTACAGCAAGCATTTAGTGGGTAATTTAAGCGATACTCGAAACAACAATAACACAATAAAATCAAGTATAACAAAATGAATCGTTTAACGAAGCAAAAGAAAAAATTATATGAGTATTGAATGGAAAACGAACTGAACATTTGCCGAAAATGTATTTTTTTCGTTGGTTAAAATCACGTTTAAACAGTAAGAGTGTGTTACAATTTTCTCTTCTTGTCTGAATATCTATCGAATATTACAACCAAAACAATTACACGTATTTATAGGGAATGAACATTATGGCACATTAACAAACACACAGTTACAAAAGGCAAATTTAAAACAAGAAAAAACAACATGCGTAAATCAAGAAAACACACACAAACAAACAAAAAAAAAATCAACCATTTCCATTAAAGTGCGCAGCAATAAGTATCCTCTTTGCACGATTTTCCTTTTGCAAAGGCAAACTGTTATTTTTTTAAGTATTAGCATAAATTTGATAGCAGCATTGCAGAAGAAAGAAAAAACTAACAAAAAAGGTCTATCTGGTCATAAGTGATGATGACGATAAACCAAGCATCAAAAAAGCAACGGATTAAAAAAAATGATGAATGAAACAGACTGAATTAAGAAAAAACACACAAAATGAGAAATAATCTTAAATAAAATGGTAATTTTTGAAAAAAATTACGCTAAAAATCGTCTAGTAATTAATTTATAGGCAAGCAAAGTTTAAAAAAAATACTCGCCAACGATTCTCTCTTGTAACCAGAGAACCCAGGGTGTGTCTTCTTTTTCCATTGAAACGAGAATAAAAAAATTATCTTATCCAATTTGAACTAAATTAAGAAAGGGCAAAAAACCTAAATCAGATACATGCTATCAAAAATCATCATTTTAAAAGTGAACTTTTGAAGAAAAAAAAAAAATTAACAATATTTATTTATATGCGTGTAAATTTTCTTTACTCCGGCAGATTGAATTTGATTTAGTGTTCATTTCATTTGTTTTTGTACACTATATTTTTAGGCTTTGAATTGACGAGTGATTTATTGTGCTGGAGTAACATTTAAAATTGAAAATAACTAGTAATTGAAGTGCAAACAGGATGAGGTTTTAGGTTTTTTTTCTTCGTCGAACTATTATGCTACAAAAACTGAGAAAATTGTACACTTTTTGTAAAAATTGAAATGATGAGAGATGGTTGTATGTGCTACAAAACACACTTTCAGATCTCTCGAGAATTATTCTTTCATTTCGCTCTCACCATTTCAGTTGTGTATGTTTGATATTTGTTTCGAAGATTTCTTTGAATATATATATAGATTTTTTTTACAGTTTTGTAGACAATAATCCGTGCCACTTGTGCGCCCATTTAAAACAAATTTAAAAACGAAAATTATGCAAATTGAATCAAACATCATCAGTTCTTCACTGTATAACTGAAAACTATATTATTATTATTATTTTTTTCTATTTTCAATTTTAATTATGTTCTGTTTTTTAGTTGTTAATATTTTCTCATTGTAATAAGAATATCATGCGAATGAAAATGTAAACATGGTTTTGATCGTCAATGTTTTCCAATCTAATGGTGTAGCATTTTTCCAATTTTACCTTTAAATATTATCGAATGAAAGCACGAAGAAGAAACGATAAGCAAGAATTTAAACAAAAGTAAAAAAAAAACTAATTAAATAAAAACCTAACTAACGAGAAGTGCGCAATGGTGCACTTAAAAAAATCACCTCTAAACAGAAAATCTTTAAATGTAATTTTTTTTTGAATAATAATAAATAAATTACACACAGTACATATAGACGCAAGTATAGGGAAATAGATAAATATGAAATGAAACACACTCACAAAACCACATACACACAAGATATCATCATCCATTTAAATAAATCAAATTTTCATAATGAATGTGTAATAATCGGGAATTAAAAATTCGAAATCACAATCGAAATGAAGATTTTATAAAATAAACATTGGTATTTTTGTTTCTTTTTTTTACTCTCATTGTCCCCTTCTCTTTTCCGTTTAAGTGAAATTAAGCCAGTTACTTAAAATTGATTAAAATCAATAATTAAAAAAAATCATCGCTTTTTCATTTATAATTCCACTATTCCCAACGAAAAATTTCTCGCTCAAATTATAAAAATTAATGTCTCAATAATAACAACAACAATAATAAATTAAAATTGCATTGTAAATATGGCACTCATTCACTTTTGGTCGATTTGTATAAATCACGAATTATTTTAATGAATTTGATAATAAACTCAATGTTTAAACTTTCAACACACACACACTCAAATAATTCACAACACAAAAAGAAACATACTCAATTTTATTTCGAACAAATTGAACACTCTTTTTGTAAATAATATGGAAGGTAATTCATTTGTAAGTTATATTCAAACAAAAGGGACAACAATGACACACAGCGTTATAGAAGATTTGCAGAGATAACAAAAAAAAAAAAAAATAACTATCGGTGTGCTTCTAATCCAATATAATGATATGCTACAGCAGTATAACTGTTTCTTCTTTGTTTTTCATTAGTTCATTCAATGTTTTGTCATATAAATGCAACGTAACGCAAATTTTACGACCAATAAATGGTAGCTAACTATTTAGAGCATTTAATCCTTCTTATGCTCTGAATAATTTAACTAAAAAAACAACAAAATATATAAATATATATTGGAGCTAAAATTATCCACGCGAAATAAATATTATGAATGAAATGTTCGATAACGAGAGAAGAAAAAATGCGATTTGATTTAAACAAAAACAAAACAATATCAATTATACGATAACATTAAAAGTTTATCAGCATGTAAACAACAAAAAAAAATAAACTTCTTTTATCATTCTGATGTACTTCTAATATCTAATGCGAATTTTGTTTATCCAATAAAACACAGAATAAACATAAAAAAAGTATTGACAGATGAATGTATTTAGACGTTTGCACCGAAAAAGAAACAAACAGACACAAAAAATGCAATATAAAATAAATTTACATCACCCATGAATGAATGATATTACTTTGTATTGAAAAATGTGAACATAAATGACAATTTTATCAAATGGCACACAGTTTAATTGATTAAATTTTTTGTTAGTCTCATTTTTTTTTTTGGTTCGTTCTTCAATTTCATCCTAATCCTACCATTACGCAGACAAATTAAGCTATATTCACATTCAAATAGTTAAAACAATTAAGTAATCGCACATCAGAATCGTGTTTGATTGTAACTGGCCAATCAAAGTTCCGTTTGCAACAAATTATCCATTCACACAGCTCATAAATGCACAGCCAAAAACTCACAAACATACACCATTCACCAAACATACAATTTAGTGCCAATATTTTGATCACTGTCGTATGAAATTGTTGTCACTATTCATGTTATCAATCAACAAAAATACGTATCCATTTGTTTTTGGCTTATCTCTTTATGTACACCGATCGATCAGCTGATCAAATTTTAGAAATCACTCGCTAGAATTATAGGATGGAAACAAACATTACAAAAAAAACGATATAGTTTTCAAATGACTTCACTTAAGTTTTATATATATTGTATTAGAGAGCCAAGATTGGTTTAATCGAGAAAAAAAAAACAAACAAATAATTGATGAAATGAACAGGAATAAAATTTTCTTTTAATTTTTTTATACGGTTTTAATTATTGCAGCTTTTCAGGAAATTGATACAAATGGGAGCTAAACATTCAATCTATCGAAATTAATAGAATTCCATTCAAACGCCAACTAAATAAAACCCGTTAAGTTAATAGAAAATGAGTTTGTGTAAAGTGTTCATTCGAGCAAATCTAAGGACTGAAAATCAACGATAACATTTCTTCGACACCTTCTCCAGTTTGATTTTCTTTTTCCTTTAAACGAACTTGCACAAATTCAAATACAATTTATTTTATGTATCATATTTTGTATTCCAAGAAGGACACGAATCGTTTGAAAATTACAGAATTAGTTAGAATTAAAATAATGATTTTTGTTTTGAATATTTTTGAGGCTTCCATATGTTTCTTTGGTTTCATTCCTTTTCTTCTTTAATCAGGCCGCCTGTATTACCCTACCAAAAAATGAAGTCGTGTTTTGTTTCGAAAATTAATAATCCCAGATATCTCCAAATTTGAAAAGTATGTTCTGAAGTGTTCACTTCTATTGTTTTAACTCGATTTCAGCCCCTGACGATATCTGGCTAAAAATATCTAATGTCTGGTTCATGAAATTGAAAAACCTGGTCAGTTTCTTGCATATAAATGGACTTTGCAGAACGGTAGTTTTTCGTGGAGTTCTCGAATAACATAATTTAAAAGAAATGGATCAAAAGTATGACTTTCTAACTGAATATTTAAAAAGGCCAAATTTAACTTTCTCAAGTTGCAATCTGTACATTAAACAGTTGAGGATAAAAAATATTATACTGCAAATTGGTTTTAATCAAAATTGTTCATTTTAAATATTATTTATGTTTATTTTTTATTCAAAAAATTGTCGTGCAATAATTTTACACTGAGGTGCCTTGAATTTTTTTTCCAAAATGTTATCCAATTCTAAAATATTATTCTGTCTCTGCAATATTGCCAACACTTCAATTAAGTTTCATCTTTCAAAAACATAACCTCAAAAAATCACTCACATCGTTTGTAAACATACGGCAAAATTTTGTGTCATCTCGTTTCTTGTTTTTAGTAAATTTGCGTGTTTCTTGTAAATATCGTGCATAAATAGACAATAATGGTAAGTTTCTGTAATTTTTATTTATGTTTATATCTTTTTGAATGGCATTTGCAAAAGTAACATATTTTTCAATCAAATTTTGTTGTGACAGGCGCGAAATGCAGAAAAGGCTATGTAAGTATAACCGGTTAATATATTCGTTTAAAAACAAGCGATGGTAGAAATATTTATTTGTTTTGATTCTTTTTGTGATCAGGACAACTCTAGCTCGTTGGCGAGCATCAAAAGAAGCAGAGACGGGTGAAAAAGAGCGTCGGCCGTACTTGGCATCCGAATGTACAGAAGTGTCAAAATGCGAGAAGTGGCGTTTAGAAATCATTCGAGAAATATCAAAAAAAGTTGCACAGATACAAAATGGTATGTGCCTTTTTTTCTGTGTGTATACAAATGAATTTTAATATAATTTGATGTCCATTTCCGATTAACAGCTGGTCTTGGTGAATTTCGGATACGTGATTTGAACGATGAAATTAATAAGTTATTGCGCGAAAAAAGGCATTGGGAAAATCAAATATCAGCGCTTGGTGGTCCGCATTATAGACGATATGGACCGAAAATGTTTGATGCCGAAGGTAGAGAGGTGCCGGGCAATCGTGGTTACAAATATTTTGGTGCTGCAAAAGATCTACCGGGTGTTCGTGAATTATTTGAACAGGAGCCACCACCACCACCAAGAAAGACTCGCGCAGAACTTATGAAAGACATTGATGCCCACTATTATGGTTATTTTGATGACGATGATAATGTTCTCATTCCGCTTGAAGAAAAAGCAGAAAAGATCGCTGCCCAACAAGCGCTTCAAGAATGGAAAGAAAAAGAAAAGAGTCGCAATGGCAATGGTTTACGAGATGAAAATGATGATTTTGATGAGGATGGCGCTGATTATGGATTGAATTTGAACGATACGAATAACGAACATAATCAAAGCATCACCAACGATCCAATGGGCATGCTTGCACCAAGATTCACTGCACATGTACCAGTGCCATCGCAGAAAGATATTGAAGCTGCATTGCTTAAGAAAAAGAAACAGGAATTACTTGAAAAATATGGAATCGGCGAGGATTAAATAAAGATACAAAAAAATTTCTAATGTACAATAATCGATGCTCTTTTATTTAATAATTGATTTTTTAGTGCGATAATACACCATCGCTACACATTTTGGGTGCAACATTTCGTACTCATCCGGTTAGTTATTAGGACACCAGAAATTTATATTTATTGAAAATATTTTGAAGATATTCTTCACGAGCACCAGGCAAATCCATGTAAATTGAATTCCATTCTCGGTAGCAAATTTGTATCACAATATATCCCAATATACTAAGATGACGCTCTTGGAGAATATCGATTCCACGTTTATTACTTCTACCGTTGAATTGAACAGGTGTTTTTGGCAAAGGTATTATAGCCACTCTGAAATAAATTCATTCAAACCATTTAATAAAACAATAACACTTGGTTGCGATTAAAACATACTTGTTTAATGTTTGAGGACCCTCGTCAAATGGTGGTGAAACTAGTTGTCTTTGTGAATTGAAATAAACCACGAAAGGTATCTATGGGTGGGGATTAAGTAAGTTTTTTTTTCAGAAGAAAATGAATGAAAAATATGTTTACCCTGTATCCGTATGGTGTCTTATGATTCAATCTAATCATACTTTTGTCACCTCCAACATAAGACAGCAACATTTTGTATATTTCATTCGTATACGGATTAGACTTTGGTGGACCTAATTAAGAAAAATGTTTACATGAAAAAGTCTGTTTGCATTGAGAACATATTTTAATACGGTCATACTTGCTACTAATTGTGCCTCAATAAAATTTTGCTGGAACCATGGCACTCTAGCCTGTAATATTGAACAAGATAATATGAACATTCAAAGGCAATTTAACTATTAACATCACACATACTTCTGGATAATTAAGGCAAATCGATCGGTTCAACTGCATGACCAAATTTAATATACTTCTTGGGTTTCTTTGCTGAAAATAAAAATTTCGTGAGTCTCATGTTATTATTTTTCAAACTCTTCTACTTTTTTTTTGCTTTACCGTATGAGAAGTAAGTGATAATTCCTTCTCTATCCGTGTTATAAAATCAATATTAAACACTCGTTGTATCATCTCCAGTGGTAGAACTTGATAGTAACTTAATGCCAAGCATGCTTGAACAATCATCCT